TGGGAGTGGTAAGCCCATCGGTAGCGGTAGCAGCTCGCACAAGCTTGGCTCTTGCGATATCCTGGGAAGTGCTTTGGTAAGCTGTCAAGTTTGACCACACGAACTTTTGCCACGCGTGTCCGTGTCAGACACATAGCGAGGCTTCGTGCTTGGGTTGGTCTCCAAGTGGACGAGCCTTGGCTGAATCTGGCAACTCCGGACTGCCACATGCCTTACCCACTGGCATCTTTGCTGGAGTCGAGGAGCAGCTGTCGCGGCGGGTGCCGGGATGCTCAGTTCCGGCTTGCGACCTGCACCTCCCCCCCTCGCACAAACCCTTGCAGCCTTGCGTCGCACGAAGTGCTTTGGCCATGACTTGCTATCAGATCCGGTTAAACCAAGCTGCCCTGCTTTGAAGGCCTGGCTTGATGGATGCCACCTCCCCAGCTGCAGACTGCCTGTTTCTGCTCTCATTTCCAAGGATTGCCGAGACCTCTGTTGAAAGCTCCCTTAACTCATGGACAACGGACACCTAGCGCAAGTCTACCCAAAACTGACGCACGATCGCACATCCAGGAGCGCACTGCCCCTTGATCTAATAGTTTTGCAAGATGCTACAAGCACCCCCCGCTTCTCAAAGCCGACCACCTCGTTTCGATAGTGATTCAACCACGACGTCGTTGTGTTCCTGCTTGCCAAACATCTCATGCCACTGGATCTCCGTGCCGGAGCGCGAGGTGCATGCGCCCAAAACAGGCTGTGCAGTCCGCTGCACGCTGGTTTCGGATCGGTTTGATGGAGCATGATACCGTGCTTCATTTTGGGAAGACCTTGCACGAAATCCATGTTTCGAAGTCATTCGTCGGGGAAGTAGCAGGGAGCACCCGGGGAACTAATTAATTAGCCTGGCAACGACAACCTGGGAATTGAATGCCAAGCCGCACCAGCGTTTCAAAATTATGTGTCAGCATCCCTTCCCAAAGCAAACCTGCGGTGTGGGCAGTGTTTTCACGAGGCCGGAGGCATGTCAGGATCATCCGAGTTGCTCTTGTGCCGTCCTTGCCGACTGAACGTCGCTAGGAAAGCCCATTCAGCCGTCCGTAGACACACAAGTTGACCGCCGCAAGTGTGGGATGGTGAGTGTGTGCCAGTGTGGACATGACCAGCGACCATCAGATCAGGGAAAGTCGAATTCCCATGGACAAGCAACAATCTTCAGAGCTTCGAAGAGTTCGCCGAGGCCAGGCTAGCGCCGATTTCCGAAGCCTTGCTGGACCTGAAGCGCCAGGGCCCCGGCATAAAGCCCTCACCGCGCAAGCCTTCATCCAGAAAGCGCGTAGCTGGTTTATCCCTCTACGTCGCGGCGCTGACGCACATCAGGGGTCGGTGTAGGTATAGGCATGACAAAGTTTGTCTAGATGCCGTGCTTTCAACATTCTCCTTGACAGACTCTCCAGCTGAGTGTTGTGCCGAACCCAGCGAAGCAAGCTCTTTCGGCCCGCAGCTTTGGATACAAACGTCGCAGCAGAAAAATTAACAAGCACCACAGTAGCACCTACGTTCGTAGCTCATGCCCGGTTTCGTCGCATGAAGAGGGATCTGTTATAGAGTACCCTTTGCAGCATGTGATGTTGAGCACGGCCCTGACAGCAGCTGTCGCGGCAATTGCCCTGCTAGGCTGCGAGCTTATGGGTCACTGTACGACATGCATCACTGGTCTCTGCCCAAACTCTCAACTCTCAACATCCAGCGCAATTGACTGAGAAAGACCTCCCCGATCGCTCTCCTTGCATGTGCAAAGATGTTTACACCAAAAAAGCACTGTGACAGTGGTGAAGAAAAGTGATATACATTGAGTTTTTTACAATTTCAACATACATATCATACAGAACTAGTATCAACGTTAGACAGAACAATACAATTCTAAAAAAAATCTCATCAAATCGAACCTGATTCATGTCAATACCGTATGTAGCGGAGGCTTTTACGCGTGTTCGGCTTTCCACCTGTATATTGCTTCGCAGCCCACTTGTACGTAAGGACTTGGGCCTCCAGCCAGGCCGCCTTTGCGAACCCCCCACCTCCCCCCAGGCTCCCCGCAGCCCCCCACCCACCCACGCACCCCGGCCAGAATAAAACAGGGCAAACAACAAAATACCACCCCCCCCCTTCACCTGTCGCAACAATCGCCTCAATGGTAAATTCCAGTTTAATGCAGGCTTGGGCAGTGGATTATGTTTACACCGTCGAAACACTTACTGTTTAAACGCCGGAATGTTTCAACAAACGGGCCCCGCAGCAGAAGTTGTTTAAACTGTTTCACCACTTTTAAAGCGCCAACTGGATTAAACAAAGAAATGTTTGAACATCTCTACTCTGAACTGTACCATACACTCACTTCACCTTCAACCTTGCTAAAGCAAAGGCCCACACGGAAGCCTGTAAAAATGAGGCACCCCACCCAACCCCCCCCCCCCCCGGCAAAAAGAAATATTAAAATAAAATTCCACTCGTGATTAATCCTGGACCTTCTTACCTGAAGGCCCCCGGATGGCACCTTCAATTCGAGTCGGTCGTGATTATGAAATGTCCCTCTGAGTAGCTACTATCCAGCTCGCTTGCGTCAATCATGTCGTCGTGAAGACTTGCATTGTTGACGGCAGGCTGGTCCTAGGAAGTTCACAGCGGCCGTGGCTGCCTTGTTGCTTTGCACATTTATCATGCATCGGTTTGATACATCATGGCTTTGGGCCTAGAGGGAGTTGACAGCGCAGCATTTCCGAGACGGGGCAGAGTCCCAGCGCTCCTGTTGCGAGGATACGGATTAGCCTTTCAGAGACCTCGTTGTTGCTACCGTGTTGAGCTTGTAGTGAGCGCGAGTTTTTGTGACGGTTGCACATACTGTACACCCGTTGAACTGTCTTCTTCGACAGCCTTCTGTGAGGCAAGTCGGATAAATCTTGATGTTCCTCGCGTGGGGTATGAGAACAAAAGCTACTCTGGCCTTTGTCGTCCTGGAAGGTGTCAAGGCATTCGGAAATGGAAATCCTGAACAACCGGAAGTCAGACCCAACATCAGTCTCACCTGGAAGGCGGCTCTGCTTGGATGCAGCTAAATCGCAAGATCCAGCTTGATGCGACAAGGCAGCAGCAATCACTTGCTCGAGGCTTGAAGCGGTAGACTGTCCTCGACACTGAAAGCCTCAAGCGATCTTGAAACCGAGTGACCTCGCTGTTGACCTAAGTTTGGTTTGTGCTGGTTTGCACAAAGTTGGCTCTTGGCCGTAGACACACGCAGATGAATGCACAGAATGCACAGGAACATTGAACCATGGAGATTCATCGTTCGTCCATTGTCCTCGTTTGTTGGCAGTTGGCGCTGAGGCACCCTGGAAAACTCCAGGTCCCAAGCACCTCACCGGCAAGGTCGGACTGGCTCGCAGTAAGACTAGCAGTGACTAGCAGCATCTAGCAGCAGAAACTTGCACGTCGTGGGAAACATGTTCCATGCAGCTGGGTCCCCCACATGGTTTGCTAAGCGGCTACACGGGCAGTAATTCAACGGACTTCTTCCACTGGACTTCTGATCTCGCCCTGTGAGCTTTAATTTTGCTTGTTGCCAAACAACATGTACTCTTCACTCACGTGGTCTCGATGAGTGTTCAGCAACGTCTGAATCTTTGTAACCTCGAATCTGTTGAATGATTCCATGGCAGGAAATCCATGCTTGAGAGAGTATTAGATGTGCACTGCTGCTCTCAACAAATGGTAGTATCCGATAGCACTTTGTATGCTGAAGTCGAAGGTGTCGAAGATTTTTCGGAGCATTTCCGGCCGCCTGCATTTAAATACTTTTTCGGTACCTGAATGTACCTGAGGAAGCCCAGGGATACAACTGGAAGGATCCTAGAGACGCAGTGTTGTGTCAGAGCCATGCCAGCGGGCGGGGGGGGGGGGTGACTGATCCAGAGCACAGGTCAGGACTTTGCGGCCATAGACAAACAGGTCTCAAATCAATGCGTCTTGTGCGCTTTCGGGTTCCTGATCCTCCCCCGGAATACCGAATGTATTCCACATGCCCCTCCACTGGGTGTCATCAACAAGGAAGAGTCGAGGGGGAGCCCGTTCCTGGATCAAAGTCCGGATGAAACTTCCCACGACATGACCCAAGCTTGTTCTTCAGAGGGTGCACCACAGACTGTACCGCAGATGTAATTCGTCCTGCACCCACCTTAACCACCCCCAGTCGTGGCTGCAATTTCTGAACACACCGGGCAGGAGCAGCACCGTCGTGCTTTGGGACATGTGACGTGGTTGCACGCTTTTGGTTGGAGGATATTCAGTCGCCAGTGGCAGATGACTCGCACTCTCCTATCGACATCTAACGACGCCAGAGTTGGAGAGGAGGGTGGTTGGCAGTTGGCAGGCTGGAATTCACGGAGGAGGGCTCACTGCCTGGATGAGAGCATAACAGGCGCAAGTAGGCTCTCTAAACGATACCGTTCGGAGTGTAGTAAAGTAGTACTGGCTGTTGTCTTCGAGGGCGGTTCTCGTCATAGGATGCACAGTTCCGCATTCCATCAAGAGCACGAACAGACTTGAACCTGGAAAAACTACTGTAGCCACAGCAAGCATATGGTGCTCTGATCGCGTGAGTTCTCCAGCAGACATGCGTGAAGCTGGCAACTTCATCAGGCCATGATCCATGTGCTGATGCCTCGATTGAGTCTCCTAGCAACTCTTGGCATGCTGGGCGCATCCGTTTTGAAGGACCAAGTTTGCCTGATAGCAAGGCGCAGTTGCATTGTACCGAGTTTTCCGACTATTTATACCGTTCTTTCATTGCTGCTTGGTATGATTGATTACCTGTTGTTACTACCTGCTAAGTTGGGCTTGGTGTGCTTTGCAGCTTGTCGCGTCCCTGCCCTGCATGAACAGAACGACTCCGGAGATCATCGACGTGCAAGCCAGGTTTGCACTGTTTGAGAGTATCACCCTAGAGTGCCACACTACCCCTGGAGGATGGGCCATCATTTCTGCTCGATTTATCCTTTTGGGTGGCATTGGCTGCCCAGGCTCCTCGTACTGAAAGCCATTTCACTCACGCCAAGCCCTTGCCCTGGTCTGTCACCTGAAAGCCCCTTCAGGTCACGTTCTTCTTTGCTGCCGAAATGGCTGGCGAATCTACAGGAGACGGTTGGCTTCCACAAACTGGATGCGGGTTGAACACATAATCGGCACAGCCAGCTGTGTTCGTCGAGATGAGAACTTTCACACGATTTGTCGCGGATATGTTCATTGAGTTCAGGAGGCGTTTCCTTTTCAGCCCCGCCAGGGCAACTGCTGGACTTGATGGCCTTCGTATCATACTTCTTCCAAGTCGTCTTCATTTCGCTGCCGGGATTTGTGCAGAACCAGCCGGCGCAGACATATCGGGCCGTCGAGTTGCATGTGAGAATATGTGAGACATGCATCAGGCCTTGCCTGCCAGGACCGTGTAGTCAGTCTGTGTTCGCATGTGCGGTGGCGACGGCACTTTGTATTCTGCGCAGCCAAGTTCTTGCTGCAACTGGCCGGGACATTGTTCCTATTCGATGTGCAGAGCCTTGGCTGCGAAATTCGTGCTTATTGAGCGTTGACAAGCCCCGGTCGAACAGACTTTGAAGCAGAACATTAGCATCAAGTAGAGGAACGAATGTTCTCGATGAGTGAAAGCAACATGCAAGCCTCTTGGGCAGAGTCCCTGCATCTTGTTTTGCGAGTTTGGGATCTAGAAATGGGAGAGGGGTGCAGAGCTGGCACAAGGGTTCTTGACTCTGATTCGGAGGGCCCGTCCCTCAAAATCCGGAATCTGCAAGGCGCGCTGCAATTCTGGCTTTCTCCACCTATACTGTGCCCCTCCTCCTGGCAGCGGCGTCCGGAACGAGCACGGAGCCTTCTCAGATGCAACACATTATCTATCAACTGCTGGTTTCATGTTTTTTTCTATCGTGCTGGGTTGCTGCAGTCAAGTCTCGGTGCTGAGATCTAGCGTTGTAGACTCGGGGTGGTTCAAGGATGTGCAAGGTGAAGGTCTCACACCACGCTACCTTTGAACGCATATTTGGTGCCTCATAGGATTGAGCAGGGCTTTGGGCGCACCTCTTACTGCATACCTACCTCGTAAAACCTGGGCCCTAGTGGATGCGATGTCGGACCCTTGATTTCGTCTTAGACCTCCAGCACGAGGCATCAAGGGACTTCGTCTTTGCTGTCCTCGTGTGCTTTGTTTTGAGTTTGTACGGATAGTGGCCCCCACCCCAAGCCCAGTAGTCAGTGATATTGTCAGTGCGATGCTGTGTGATTAAGGAGCTGTTTCTGAATACCATTTGGGCAGATGTTTTGCTGACGCTGGGCCTTCTGTTGCTGCTCAACACGATCAGCGGTGCCCTCCCGCTGAACTCCGAGCCTCTTGTGGCCGACCCTTCGCTGCGTGACGAGCTGGCAATGGCCGAAGCCCGCAGAAGTATCATGTCTGTCATGACGGATGGAGAAATGGTCTTGAAGGATGACAAGATTATGCAAGCTGGGCAGCGTACCCGCCATTACCTTGGGGGCCTCCTTGGAAAGAAGGAGGTGGGAGACTGCCTGACAAAGAGGCTGCAATAGGAAGGCCAGTGACTTGAAGGGATTTGTGCTTTGCTTGGGCTAGTTATCAACCTACCAGGTGGAAGTGGGGGGCCTTCTGCTGCAGGACAGGGTTCCCCTCTTCCGGCCCCATGCACGCTGGGTTCGGTTTCCGGAAACAGCCAGATCACCAGTGCTTTATAGAGTCATTGTAGAGGGTTCATGATGGTGGAGGCGAAGGTGCTTGCTTCGAGACATAGCCCTTCCAGGATGTTCTGCACCCTACGGAGGTACGTCATGTTCCATCGCTCCATGCTGAGGAATCAGCAAGATTTTAAATTTTTCCTGTGGTACATACACTACATACACACTAAGGGGTTCTTACCTTCGGGGTAGAGAAAATTGGTTCACCTTGGCGAAGCAGCACCCGATGCGCACGCGGAAGATTCCGCCAACTACCGAAAGTTGCGGTGGCGAGGTGCCTTTGATCCCGCCGGTGCATGGTGGGAAGCAGGTCCCGAGTCGTGCGTGGAAGGTTTGTCTCGGAATGCCCTCAGGCCCTCAGTGCATGGAGACATGCACTTTGGCCGTTGCCCTGAATTCCGCCAGTACAGGGGGCCCCGGGGGCGGCATGGTGTCTCTGGATCCGGCCAGTACCAGCAGGGAAGTATTTTGTCAGTGGTGTGGTCGGTAGTCTCTTGGGAGTTTTTTCTCGCTGGTGGTCTCCCGGTGGTTTCCTGGTGGTCTACCGGCGGTCTCTTGCATCATGGGATCTGCTGGTGGCCTCCCGCTGGTTTCTTCCCTAGAGTTTTGTCCCTGGTGGTCTAGGTCTTCTCCTCGGGTGTCCTGGTGGTCGTGCTCGGCGTGGTTTATCACTGTTCGGGATCTATGCTGGCATAAGTCTTATAAAGACTGGTGTGAAGGAAAGCTCCTGAAAGCTCTCAGGATCTGCCCCAGCCTGAAAGATAGCAGCAGTCCGGCCTCGAGTTTTCATGTTCGGCTTCGGGATGACCGCCAAGCTCAGCTCTACACCTGTGCCTTTCAAGCCGGCGACTCTGACGTGCTATGGCTTGCCTGTATACGCGATGACGGGTCAGAGGCAGGATCGAATCGGATAGCGCGTGAAGTGACCAGTTGCTGACCAGTTGGATCAACCAAATACATCTTTCGACTCATTAATGCGTGTTGCATTCAGTCCCCGGCATAAAGCATCGCAGAACCTTGATGTGATCGAATCTCGAGGGGCGATGAACAAAGAAATGCCGGTAAGTTTCGTCAGCTCTACTTGGACGCAGAAGCTCAGGTTTCGTATTGTGAGGTGGGGCTAGCTGGACACAGGCCCGACCCCACAAAAGCTACTAGTTTACTAGTACCAAGGGAAAGCGGGAACCGATGAACTGCCATGGTTTTCTACGACCTACACGTGCATCTCTTGGCCCTAGCAGTGCTCTTGCAGGTGACAGGAGCACCCCTGGCAAGTTCTCCTCAACCGGGTCTAGCAGAAGCCATGTCAGACTTGGGCGACTCGCGCCCTCCTTCCGAGCCTTCGGCATCAGGCCTGAAAACTGGCTATGTGCTGAGCAACTGAAGTTGGTAGCCATTTTGAGTGATGTCACTGCAAGTGCAGCAGAGAGAGGGCCGCTTCAATTTTTTTTTGCATGAGGCTGCTGAAATGCAAAGGCTCTTTCACATCTGTGAACTGGCAGGCGCATTCACATTGGCGAGCCAACGGCAAGAGCTGGCCCTCCCAGAGCTTGACCTCTGGCGATCTCTTGAGGGAAGGGATGGGATGCTTCGCAGACCACATCCGGATACTGATAGAGCTAAGGCAAACTGCAAGTGCAAAATGCGCTGACTTGTGAAGCTCGCATCGACTACTCGAACCAACTCCTCATGCTTGTGTTCTGTCGCTCATTTGTTGCGCTGTTCGTTCCCGGAACATCGAGAAGGCCGATTCAGCCCGCAAAGAGCATCTTGTGGCACGGGGTGCTGATGAAGGAAGTAGGGATGGTAATGTCACGAGGCCAATGGAGACAAGTGGCACAGCTGGTGTGTGGGCGTCCGACAGGACTCACAGCCTTCCTGCTGTTTAGAGTAAGCTCAGGAGAGCATCGGCTTCACATTGGACATCTATGCCGAGGAGCTGACGATGTTGCAGGCCTGGACGAATTTCCACAATTCGTGAGACTTCTGTCTACATCCACCCCGGCTACCCTGTTCCTCAAGACCCCGGTTCCCGAAGTTGCTTACAGATCCAAATGGAACTCAAGACTTGCGGCGGCTTCACTCGGCGGCTGTGCACTGTTCTTCTGCTTGAAGTTGTTTGGTAAATAGAGCGGCAGCTCAGCAGCTTGAGGACCTTGCTAGCTCGGGAGCACTCAAACGGGACATTGTTGTTTCAGCACTTGGGCTGTGGTGTTTGGGGCGCCATATGTAAGGAATCGATGGGCAGATGGCTTGAATTGTACTGCAGTCTTACACGATGCTGCATTCCCACGGCTCCTTGCGGGCTTTCGGCGTGTTGAGGGTCCCACAGATGAGGTTGTGCCCGCGCACATCAGCCAGATTGAACTCGATTGAACTCCGTAGTTGCTTGGAGCAAGTGCGATCTGCAGACCGATGGGTTGCTGAGGTAAAACTCAACTTCAACATTTCTGACCTTGCGCACATCGATACAGGTCGCTTGCCCACCATGCACCTCGGAGTGCACTCAGGCTGAGGTTCGGGGAATGGTGTGGCTTGAGAAGTTTGCGGCCAGCAGGGTTGCAAAAGTGTCAGGAAGGGTTCTCGGATGACATTCTTATGAACCTGGAAGCTCAAACGAAAGCAGCAGCAAGCTGCGACAAGGCCTCCAGCGATTGGTTTACACCTAGTCTTAGCGTCGCTGTCGAAAAATGAAAGACCTCTTCCTACAATGGAAGCCTGCTGAAGCCTCGATTTGATTCACGAGAGCGCCCGAATCTCGAGGAAGAGATGGCTGGTCCAGAAATCTGTGGACGGCTTCCGTGAGTGGTTGATTGATCAAGTGCAAGCAGCACCTCGGCGATTGAACCCACATGCAGAGTCTGCAGTGTGAAACTTGTCTTCTGACTTGTAAGTTCCTAGATCCACGTCAGAAGGTGCAAGCCGGTTCCTTGACTCGATTTGCACCCTGTGTGTGTGTGACTCCTCCAGGACCTGGCCGGAGCGCCGACAGTGAAGTTTCCCGGCTCCTTCGAGCTCCATTGCCCGGGCAGCAACGGTGGCACGCTGCGCGCCGCTGGGATTTTGTTGAAGGTCTTCAGGTTACCCAGGGCACTCCCAAGGCCATTCATGATCAACGCCACAGAATATGGGATTCTTACGTTCAAAGTCAAGGCGATTATAGACGACGCACATGCTGTCGCTGCACTCGGCGGTTCGGCACCCTGTCAGTCTCGACTAATTATCGAGTTCTTCCAAAGGCGCGCGCCGGCCGCGTCCGTCGGGGACACCGAAGACACCCTGGCACTGCGAACCCACTCCCACCACGGTCTCGTGAGTCTCGTGCGCACGATGGTTACGATTCAACACGACTCGGCTCATCGGAGCGTTTCTTCCTGCAAGTGTGCCGTTTCCGCCTCCCGAAGTTGTGCCGCTCCCACAGCAGCACAGTTCGTGTTTCCAAGATCCTCCAGCTGCTCCATGCAGGGCGTGCGCTCCTATGTGTTTTGTTTCAGTGTTTTGGGTCCAGGCTGGCATAACCATTGTTTCGTCGTCGAGATGTGCTTTTGCAATTTATGCCGTCGCGGTCGTTGCTGTTACTGTTTTAGCGTTCTTGTTGATGGCGCATGCACGGCACAGTCCAGACGGATGTGCAGAGTGTTGTCAAGTTTGTATACTGGCATCACCTTAGCGGACATGCGGGCTGCCCGCAGTTTTCGTCTGGATGATGATCACAGCTTTGGTCCTGCGGTGTTGCTTGCCACATTGAGGTTTCCAGCGCCACTTTCTGGCATGTCGAGTAGCGGCTAGCGACAAAGCCATCATAGCAGGGGCAGCAGCATCAGCAGGAGGAGTAGTAGTAATAGTATTGGTACTGGCAGTAGTAGTGACTCAGTAGTAATTAGTAGTCGTCGTCGTCGTCGTGGTGGTGCTGGTGCTGGTGCTGGTCGTGGTCGTGGTAGTGGTAGTGGTAGCGTCGTAGTAGTAGTAGTAGTAGTGGTGGTGGTGGTGGTGGTGGTGGTGGTGGTGGTGGTGGTAGTAGTGGTAGTGTAGTAGTAGTGGTAGTAGTAGTGGTAGTGTAGTAGTAGTAGTAGTAGTAGTAGTAGTGGTAGTAGTAGAGGTAG